CTGGCCCAAGTCACCCCTCCTGGCCCTTTCAGGGAATGTCCCACCACGTTCCCCCACGAGTGCAGGGGCACAGCTGCCATCTCGCCATGGGCTGCAGGGAAACTTCTGCTTGGGCACCTTCTTCCCCTTCTTCCTCGCTAAACACCAGGATCTTCACCCCAGGACTTTCTTTCACGTCTCCAGCACAGCTCTTCTTTCTCTCTCGATCCTTCTCTGCTCAGGTGTTACATTGGTTCTTTCATATGTTAATCGCAGAGGCACATCTGTTGTTCCTCTAAGGGCTCCTTGGCTGGGTTTGGAGCAGGGGGAGCTTCTCAGCTTCTTACAGGAGCCACCCCTGGGGCCTTTCCCCCACTACCAAAAACCCACTAAACCAAACTGGCACAAATACATTCACAGAAACATTTTAATCAGAAAGATATGGAGAGAAGAAATTATATAGTGGCTATAGTTTCTTAGAATATCATTAGATCAAACAATGCTCAAATTTTTCCATACAGTGTGAAGAAGAAATGTGTAGCAGATATTAGAAGTTTTGCACTGAAGTGCTCAGAAAGTTGAAGGAACAGATTGTTTCCTACCAGAAATATTGATAAACTTTTTTTTTTCCATCAGTCTAGTAAATTGCTGTAATTTGTGACCTAATTAAAACTTTCACTGGAATATAAGTTTTCAGTATTGGAATGCCAATTCTCATTTTAATATATTTTTTTTTCAGAAAAGATATTTTAGTATAAAAATGTTACAATTAATGTTTAAGAAACTTACTCTAAGCAGAAAAAAGGACATTAATGTATTCTAGAGTATCTATGCAGAATAGAAAATGAGTTTCTGGAAAAAAAAATAAAAGGAAAGACTAAATCTCATCAATCTTCAGAAACTTATCCAATGATATTGTAAAATATGTTGTTAATTATTGGGTAAGAGAAAAAGGTAGACAAGATGCTGTAGACAAGGATCTAAAAATTCAAAATCTATCAAGAAGAGGGATCTTCATGCTTTGTGATTATAAGGTATAAAAAACATTCTGTCATAAATAATAAATATCTTTAACTAATTTTCATTTTCTTTGACATTATTTATAGGAAGACATAAAAAATAAAAGCACTGTTGAGTGGTGGGTTCTGTGGCCTTTTTAAACAATTTTGAAAAGACTTTCTGGGAGTAAAGTGTGCTAGTTCTGAATTGCACAGAATGTCATTCTTGCAGTTTTCTGGGGTTTTTTGGTTTTTTTTCTGTTCTTTTGTTTGTTTGTTTTTTCTTCTTTGTTTTTTTCTAGAAGAAAACAGTAAACAGTTTAGGCTATTAACCAGAGACTTGAAAGCACTAATCCTCTTTTGTGCATCAGAACCTCAGTACATAGATGCCACTTTTTCTAGTTTTACTGTCAGAAATGTATTTGAAAGAAAATTATAGTTATTCCTTAAAAATCCCTGAAGGTTCTGCTCTTTTTCTGGATTATTTCTTTTTCCTCTTAGCAAAATGTTTTCTTCTTTTATTTTTCCTTCATGCTTATCTGACTTAAAGTCATGGTGATTACCATATAATGTCTCTTGTGTTTTGAAACGTATATTTGGTGTTTTATAAGGAAACAGTAGTATAGAATCACAGAATCATATGGTGGTTTGGGTTGGAAGGGACCCTAAAGATCATCTAGTTTCAACCTCCCTGCCATGGGCAGGAACACCTCCCACTGCACCAGGTTGCTCAAAGCCCAATCCAACCTGGCTACTGCATTTTTCAAATGTAAAATGGATACTGTTTTACAGGTACAAAAAAGACTTTGTGATGAGAAATGCAGTATAAACACGCAAAAGACCTGCAGGAATGTTCC